ACAGTTAGTTACATGAATTCAGTTATGGGATGAAATCGGATAGAGATGAAATCGTTTAGGGATAAACGGGTTTAAGAGTTTTTAAGAATTTTAGCCAAATGCTTTATAATATAGTATATAGTTATGGAACTTCATTTCCGGCCTAACCCACGTAAGAAGTGTGCACATGTGGCACCATTTGAGTGGTGTCTTAGAAGGGATTTTAGATTTTAATTAGTAGATAAATTGACATAAATGTCCTTGAGTCAACGGAATGGAGTTAACTATGTTAGTATCGCAGGGACATCTGATGTTTTTTTTTTTTTGAAAGAGAGATCTAGATTGAAACGAAATGCAAACCAAGACCCTTTGTGTACTTATTTTAAAAGAGAGATCATATTCAGATTCTGAGCTGATCATAGAGACCAACGGTATAATTTACTCTATTAACTTTTTAGAGGACACGATCCCTTTTCAATGCAAAATCTTTTCAAGAACTGTTTAATATTTGACGTTTTTCTTCGTTTTCTAGCAGCCCTTTCAAAAATAAGAAGGTCCCGTCTGATTTATAGGATTAGATTGAATTTGAAATTGAATTTCATTCCAATCCATGTTTGGTTTGAAGGATTTCCTGGATTTGAAAATGCTAAGATTTTATCGAAATCCTCCAAACATAGTATTTTGAAATCCCATGGGAATGGTTGGGATTTCACACGATTTCGTAGAATTTATATATAATAATGTTTTAAAATATGTTAAAAACACTTGTTTTCTAATAATTCATTAATAAAAAAGTAATTTAATTATTTATAATTTATTTTTATAAATTATTTACAAAAAATGGAATTCCATTCCATTTAAAATCCATCAAACCAAACACTCCTAAGATTCTAAATTCTCCCGATTCCAAATCCTTGCACGGAATCCAAATTCCTCAAAACCATTCCATCAAAGCAAACGCCCTTAATGATATGTTTGATACACTGGATATAACAGAACAAAGTAAAACAAGAATCATTATTCCATATTTGACAGAATTTTTATATTTAACAAACAATAACATAGTAGAATAGGCTTGTTCCACCCCCATACGATGAAACAAACTTACGTTTTATGAATTTAAACTCAAAATAAATTAATTTTCTTTTGAAACGTCAAATATGCTTCTCTCTGTACATTTGATTCGTTCTTTAAATTTTATTTTATATTACTTAAACTTTCATTTTACTCTTCTTAAAATATTATTTAATACAATTTTTATTTTTGGTTAATTTATTTAATTATTAAATATTAGTAATAATAAAATAATACAGAAAATGTATAAAATAAAAATATAAACTACATTATTTTTTATATCATGGTGTCATTTTTAATCTTCTTGATTATATATTTCGTTATATAAATATATATTTTCTTATAATTTAATAAATTACATAAATTAATCAAAATAGATAAAAAAAAAATATAAACAATTTATAAGGGTAAATTAGTCATTTAATTTATTTGTTCTGCGTTGAACAATTACCCTGTCCTATTCTTTTTATGTTTGTGTGGATATGAAACATACTCTGAAAAGACTATCCCAAATTTATAAAAAAAAAACATTATAAACATAAAGTATTAATCGTCATTTTATCGCATCCAAACTTTGTAATTTTCTTTTGTAAAATATTATATGATCGTTTATGCTTTAATATTCGATACTGGTACTGATAACCTTCAATTTTTAGAGTTATTTGCATTGTTTTTAAACCGGTTTTCACCATTTTCACCCATTTTATATCCATTTAAGCCTTTCAAATCTTCTTTGGTATAAATTGTTCCTAAAAGTGAGCAATAACTCATTAGTTAGAATTTTAAGCCAGTACACCAATGTCGCTACAGTGTCACCACTGTGGTGAATAACTGCATCAAGAAATATCTTCTCCAGACTTTTACTACCAAATCAGTGAAATAGGGAGTAGAATTAGACCAAAGTTAACTTTGAAATATTCATGGTAGAAGAGAAAATGGAGCAGTAGAGGGGGATTTTGTAACATCTTAAACGAATTCTTGCAATCGGCAATGTGGAATTCGCCTAAGATGTTACAAAATCCCCCTCGAGGACCCATCATACCTGATAAGGTTTGCTTCACCATCACAATGGTACAATGATCAGCTTTGATACTATTTATAGCACCCAAAGCCTAAAGTAACAAGTTGACCCAATAACTTCAAATCCAACTTAAAACCACGGTGAAAGTTTTTGGTAGCCTACAATTTGAGGCTTATAATGGTATCTCCAACAGGTTCTCTATAATTTTTTTAAAATAAAGAACCAAAAGCTAAAATATCGATAAAAACTTAGATTAATCTTTAACATATTCTCTATTTAGAGATTTTAACATAAATTACATCATTATATTTTTCTCTATTTTATCATCACAATACACTTTTAAAACGAAAATTATTATAAAATACTAATAATTTATTCAATCGGTGGGATTGAATAAAATAATCAATTATCTATCTTAACTGAAGTTTTAGAGAACATAATACAGAACAAAAAATTGATTTTCTCTATTTTAAAGAAGCTGTTGGAGATGCTCTAAGGAGCTAAGAGCTCCATTTTCTATCCATCGACTTAAACTCCTGGTCAAGTCTCTTTCTCACCCTCTCTCTTCCTCACCTATTTAAAGGGAGCTTGATAATTCATTTAGAGCATGCTTGGACGTGGATTAATAGCTGAGAAGCATCATTTTACTCTTGCATTTCTTTTTAGCTTGTTGTAATTTTCATTTATGTTCACCATTGCGCAAGCCTGTGGCCATAGTGCCGATCTTTAGTTTAATACAGTTTAACTTCGAGATTTGAGAAAATTTTCAATAATCACATAAAGAGATACGTGTTTTGGCATAATCATTACGAAGGTTCAGATGTCAGTGGAGTTGGTGTGTCATAAGAAATGCGCATCCCTCCATACTGACGGATCTAAGGTCTTTGAGATCTACTTAGTAAGATTGACAAATCGAAAGTTAGCATTTGTGGCGAGATCGTGGCCACATCCCACACGATGTAGATTCAAGAGAAGGAAATCATGTGGGGTTATTTTGTGACCGATTTTATCAACCATTTAAGGTGCTATCATACTTTTGGGGAAAACTTACACCCATACCCGTTTTTTATTACTTGTTATTTAAATCACCAATATTCTCTGAAAAACAAATCGATTTTTAAATCTAACTTTGCACCAGAAGTTCATAGAAATCTCCATGGACACGATTTTTGGTACCATAATATTATATTATTCGTAAGCAAACTCAATAGTTGATGTGCACTTGCAATGCTATTTTACCACACTGATGTGTGTATACTTTTGCTATCAAGCATCATTCTATAATTATATCCATATCATTAAATCTGGTTGAGTTCCGGTAAGAATGAGAGTTAAAGTGAGAAGTGTAAGAAGATATCTCCGCCCTTGAATGCACAATAGGATGAGATGCACCAGATCAATCTCCGTATCAAACGCGATTCGCGAGTGAGTTTGAGATTAAAGATGATCAAGGATAGAGATTCCTTCTTACGATTTTCTCACACGATGCTTCGCCTATTAAATATAATGTTGTACAGCATCACTCGAACAGAATTATGTACAAAATCATACGAAAATGAAGCAAATGAGCCACAATGTATATGAACAAAGCCAAACAAATTTATGTACATACGCATGAAATTAACATTGGGACTGGGATTTTCATTTTTCATCCCTTCCCATATTAATCGTCGTTTTTTTTACGGCAAAGTTACACGATTTAAACAACTAAAACATAATGTACAAACACCGAGTAGCTAAAGATGATCAATCGGGTGGATTACGGGTCTACCGGGCCTGCTGCCATGTCATCATCTCCCGAGTCGTATTCATCTTCGCTCAGTTCCTCATCGCTCGATTTCTCCTCCGGAAGAGCACCCACATCTTCCGCCTTCGCATACTTCTCACAGTACTCTGTTCAACAGAACAAATTATGTAACAGCAGATTTATATACAACTTTTGATGCATGGGTACAAGCTATGTTCTGCACCATTGAACGAAATTATGCAAGAAAAAACAAAATGTACAACTTCCAGTGCATGGGTACAAGTCGTCATAGCACGGTACCCTCTAGTGAGCTAAATTATGCAACAAAAATGAACAACTTTTAACGCATGGTTCAAGTTATTATTCACCGGGATTCTGATGCAAGAAAAAGAACCTCCACCAATGTACAACTTGCAAAGCATGGGATACAAGTCGTTATATCAACTTATAGGTCATGTCATATATAGAATTATATATATAGATATATGTTTCTATATATTATGTAATCAGATGATATTAAAAAGCTGTACATTTATTATTGAGGAAGAAAAATCATATAAACTATTATTATAAAAATATGTTTTTAATTAAATATTTAAAATCTAACTTAGAAAGGTAATTTTACAACTTCATTTAAACCGTGAGTCAGTAACGTTTATGATTTACGAAACTGTGAGTCATGTGATTAGTCAAATCTATAAAAGTGTAAAATCTAAAGTTAAAATGTAAAAACACAAATGATAAAAAATAAAAAAAATAAACTTTTTGAAGAAAAATCACGTCTTACAAAAAACATGCGCCATGGTGAGAGCCATGCCTTATAGAAGCATTATGGGCCATTTTGTAACGGCGGAGACACGTCTTGTGCCATATCGCGCCATGACGCGCTTTTTTGAACACTGTCCCCATCACGACCACGCTACTACTGTCACTGTCACGCCCGACACCCTCAACCCCTACCCCTACCCGCACACCTCACCCCTACTCACCCACCACCATGCCACTACCGTTGTCGTCACAACTGCCACCCACCCGCCCCACCTCACACCGTTGCCAACACCATCATGCCACTACTTTCATCTTTACAGTTGCCAAACCCCACCATTCCGCCAAACAAACATAGAGATTCCAGTTCTTTTGAGAAATTCCATTTCATTCCCTACCAACCAAACACGTGGTCAAATTCCATTCCAATTCCTTCAAAGTCAAACTCCTTTGATGGATTCCAATTCCACAAAATTCCATTATGTGAACCAAACACTTCCTTAGAGTTTTGAGTCTAGACTTGCTTATAGTCTGTAATAATTCTTAGCTATGGAGGCCATTTACCAACTGCAAACTATTGAGATGAATTGAGAACCTTTGTCCTTCTTTACCTGTGGTGCCAGTTTGACTTTCGTTTATGAATTTTGTCGTTTTGGTCTTGGGTTGTTACAATGTTTAAAACACTTGTTTTGTAATAATCAATTAATCAGAAAGATAAATTAATTATTTTTATGATTCTTTTTTGTAATTTGTTTTTCTAAATTATTATGAAGAACCAATTCATTCCATTCCAAATCCTACAAACCAAACACCCAAAGATTTCAGATCTCCCAATTCCAAATCCCTCAAAACATTCTGTCAAACCAAAGGGGCCAAGATAGGTGGGGAAACGAATTGTAGAAGGTTGTAGGGTCTTAATTTGACATGGGTAGTTTAGTAATTCACCAATATTGTTCCATCTCCTTGATTTTTGTCCTACTCAATCCTATCCGGTCCCGGTCCAATTGTCGCACTCGCACCAAATGTGGGACAATAAGTTTTTGTTTGTTCTTGTCACGTCTTGTCTCGCATACCTAGCTCACCCTTAAGGCCATCGGTGGTTTACTCGACTGTTAACCTAAGGGCCCATTGGATTACTCAAGGTGCACACAAGCTGGCCCAGAAATAAGATTTTTCCCGTTGGTACAAAGCCCTGGTTAGGGATTATTGTCATGCTTTTGACCTCACAAGAAAAGCATATTAAAGACAAAAAAAAGTAAAGCACAAATATACTTGAAGTGTTGCATACCTTTCACTCGTTGTTCATAAGAAGATTTATCACGCATCATGAGAGCCGCGGCCTCTCCATTCAACGGATCCGAAGCATTAGGGTACAACAAAAGTTGCGGAAGGAACACCTCAAACACGTTCACCAAGTCTATAAACAGATACATCACGATTATATATCAGTTAAATATCTAAAATACCCTTCAACAATCACAAATACATAGAACCCTCAACCTAAAGCTTATCCCCCCCTTCCCGGGCGGCAGGGTCCCATGAGGAACGGACGCTTGAACTGACATAAACCATTCAATACCATCGTAACAATGACCATATAATAGTAACTTGAAAACTTTTCAAAATGGAAATGTTGCAAATTTCTTAAGACATCCCATAATGAAAGGGTAGCACATTGTTATCGGAGAAAGGGAGTACCATCAATAACTTGCCAATAAACCAAACCAAACCAAACCAAACCAAACCAAACCAGATCAGTATATCCGTGTGGAGGATAAGATGTATGCAGACCTAACATCTACCCTAAAAAGTAGAGTGGTTGTTTCCATGACTACCCCCGGCTTGTGATCAGGTAACTTTTGCAAACATGGGCAAATAGGTAACTTTTGCTTCAAAAGTTATCAAAAAAATGAAATGTTACACAACATCCCGACATGGAAATTGTTGCTAATTATATGGAATAGAAATTTTTTGGTTCGATATTACCGAACATGGGGCTCCATGTCTGATTAATCACATCCAAGCAAACTGAACCAGACCTGAAAAATCAAATTATACGCATAAAAAGTCGTAATCTTGAATATAATCATGATGTTTCTAGAGCAAGATCATCATCCTTCCATCCCAAAAGAAGTGGCCATGTTTCTATATTAGTTTGCTCCAAAGAAAGTATTTACTTTCAAAAGTAAGTGCATATTTTTCAATTCTACCGAGGGTAAAATCGTCATTTAGTTGATTAGAAGTTTAATAATTAAACATTTCTAAAACTTTGTTGGTTTATCGTGGACATTTATTTTGGGACGGATGGGGTATCCTTTCAAGAGTCCAAGACTCCAAGATGACACACTCACATTTCATCAACATTTGGATGGTAAATTTTGTTAACGAAGCCAATGGATGGAGATTTATAAGGATAAGCATCCGGAAGCTCAACCCTTAGCTTCCACACACCTCCATGGTATGGACCTGTGTAATTCATGATCATATCGGTGTAGAGTAAACATGCATATGGAAAAACTGAAAGATCCCAATTGAATTATGAAGAATTAAATTGCATCCGAAAATAAAAAAAATCCTTAAGTAGCACAAGAACAACTTTCCTAAAAGAAAGGACTTTTACAGTCGAACAATTCACCTTTCGAATACAAAAGCCACATGAAATTATGCATATTTTGTGGATCAGAAACAGAATGGTGATCCTTTCATAGCATAATTTCAACATAAAATCTTCCTTTTCCTGCTTAATTCAAAGATATCTATGTGATTTGAGATCCTAATATGTGTTGATTGACCAAAAAAGTGAAGAACTACTTCTGATTTACAAAAACAAAAGATCAAGATCAATTAACATTCCCAAAATGCTATAATTCTCCCAAATACTCCAACCACGAAAAAGCAAATTCTAAGCAAAAATTAGGAATAAGACTTGGGATCATGTTTTCGTGACACCGATACAACACCAACACTGTGAAGGTACAAAAGAACACGGAACCTTCACTGTGGAAACTATGTGAAGGGTTGTTTTTGCACCTTTTCAGTGTGTTCTTTTTGGCTGCATAGCTGGTCTCACAGAACTCACGAGAACCCAGATGAAAATCTGATCTGACCCTATTCATATATACGTAGACATGGCAGGCTAAAATTCAAGAAATTACCACAAACCCTAACATCATAAAAGGTAAATAGAAGATGCAGAATATACAAAAAAAAAAAAAAGACCAAATTGGAATAAAGAAGAACCCTGAGAAAGTCAAAATCTAATCTCACCCTGTAAATATCAGTTGAATCTAGCTAAATTCAAGAACACCCACAAAAGCTAACATCATAAAAAAATTTGAGGGAACATGATGAACATAATATAATCGATACAAAGTTCATAGGAAAACTTACTGTCAGCAGGTCCATGGAAATGCACATAAAATTCTTGCATCCCATCGTTGATCATCTCGACTTTGTAATCACTCATCATCCTAGTTCATAAAAACTCGGTCAAAATCAATTTTGAAAAACAAATCAATTCAGATAAGATTGAAAAGGAACAAAATCAGTAACCAGATGATATGAAATCTAATTTGGATGAAATCAAACAACTTACAGCTTCATCAAATCCATCTCTCTGCGTTTGCTTGGAGAAGACATTTTTAATTTCGTTTTTTTTTTTTTGGGTAAATTTGTGGGAGTTTGTTCGGGGAGAGAGATAAGAAAGAGAGAAAATGGGTTTGGATACAAGCAGGGGACACCTCCTCCTCCTCTAAGTACTTGGAGGAGAAAATGGTGTCATGAAAAAACCATTTCTTTTTTACATTTTAGATTTGTTTTTAAATGATATAATTCTTTAGGTATCTCCAATAGATTATTTCATTAAATACTTTAATAACTTAATTAATGTTTTAGTTTTTAAAATAAAAGGTTTTTAAAATTGAATATTTTTTTATTAATCTGGACATCCAACCTGCTATGCAAGCCGACTAATTCCAGGGTAACCACCTGCTTTGCAGATGGTTCAGAGTCATCGCATTTGAACCTACGTGACCAGAAAATGATTTTTATTCCTCTTTGGATTTGAACCTGGGACCTCCTGGTATTTTTGACATTTGGAGTCAAGTTCAAACCAATTAGGCAACACCCTTATGGTTAAAATTGAATATATTTGAACTTATAAATTTTCGATTTTATTTTATTTTAAGGACTTGTTGGTTGGAGATGTAGAAGGCCATATTACATTGATACTCGTATTAGAGGTGTTCATCTAAAGTGTAAATCGTATAAACCTTTCACACTGTATTGTAAAGCATGGTTTAGAATTTTCGTGATGTAATATGCATCAATATACAGTACTTTATGCATAAAAAATGGGCTAAATATAAATTTGAAGATAACATAAAAAATTAAAAAAAAATCGATATTAGTATTAAATTAACTAATTTAATAGTTTTTGTTTTTTTGATGTAACTTCTTTAATTCAATTTTTTATTATAATTTAATTTAGGTATAATAACAAAGTAATTTATTTTTGGTTTAATAATATAATTTTTTATTAAAAATAATAATTAAACATTTTGTTAGAAACTCGATAATTATCCTAATTATATTTTAGATTTTTTAGATTTTAAAATGAGATGTTTATCCTCTATTTGATTATGTTTATCCGTAGTTAGTTATACGAATTCAAACATGAAGCTTTAATAAATTATACTTAATGCATAATTTACTTGTAATTTTGAATGCTAAGTAATATGCATCAATATACAATACTTTATGCATAAAAAATGGTTTTTAAGAATTTTTGTCAAATGCTATATAATATAGTACAAATTTATTTTTGGTTTAATAATATAATTTTTATTAAAGATAATAATTAAACATTCGGTTAGAAACTCGATAATTATCCTAATTATATTTTAGATTCTTTAGATTTTAAAATGAGATGTTTATCTTTTATTTGATTATATTTATCCAYAGTTAGTTATACGAATTCAAATATGGAGCTTTAATAAGTTATACTTAATGCATAATTTACTTGTAATTTTAAATTATAAGTAATATGCATCAATATACAATATTTTATGCATAAAAATGGTTTTTAAGAGTTTTTGTCAAATACTTTATAATATAGTATATATATATATATATATATAGAGAGAGAGAGAGAGAGAGAGAGAGAGAGAATAATTGGGCTAATTTAGTTTTGAAGTTAATCTTTTATTTCTTATATTATTTTTAATTGTGTAATATCCATTTAGGAATTGAATGTATTGAAGCTTCTTATTTGTTTGGTCTACAATTGCGTTAACGTTGATTTTATAACGAAGTTTTAATCTTATAATCAGGCGTAAGTGTGTACGATACAAAACGCATAAACCACATGATGCCACAATTCAGGATGTGATTCTTTACAGTTTGAGGTTCGAAAAAATGTTCAAACTACATATATAATACAGTTTTGGTTCCAAACCACATTAAATCACACCATGAACACCCCTGATTCTTAGCATAATGACATACACACTCTTTTAAATATAATTAGATATTTTTTTTTATTAACCTAGATATCTAACCCGCTATGCGAGCCGACTAATCCCAATGCTATCGTCTGCTTTGCAGATAGCCTGGAGTCACCGCATTTGAACCTTCGTGGCCATAGAAGGATTTTTATTCCTCCTCATTTGTATCTTATTTTTATAACATAATATTTTTGTTGATGGATTGTATAAAAAAGTAAGCAGTTTTTATGGATTGTATAAAAAAGGTATCAAAAATAAATAAGTCATAAGAACTAATGAATCATGTGTTATTTCACTTTATGAACGATATATAAAAAATAGATATATTTGATTTAAAGCAAAAGTATATATTAAAAAATAAATAAAATGTAAAATAATATTTTAAATCATAATTTTAAAAGAAAAACAATAATTTAAAATTGGTGTGACAAGTTTATAATTTTATCATGATTCTCATTCTATCATTTTCTCAGCTTTATAGAAAACACAGGATTTCTGTAATAACTTGTCACTATGGCAACTTATTGAAATTCACAAGATTCTTTAACTTTATTATTATTATTATTATTATTATTATTATTATTATTATTATTATTTAATTCTATTATTTTTAAATTTTAAATTATATTTTAATATGATTCTTATTTTTAGAAATCTAAAACTTAAAGTGTCCAGATACATTTAAATGAAAAATATTATAATAAAAAATGTATTATGACTAAATAAATATAAAGCGTTGGGTTTACGTGAAATCAAGGGTTTTTCGTGAGACCCGTAAGATCAATTTATGTTCATTGATCAACTTTATAAGCTAATGGTCTAAAGTTACACGGTGACAATTTTGTGACTATTGAGAAGTCTCGTGGCAATTTTGTGATTAAGAATGCTCAGATTGTAGATCTAATCCAAGGGTTGCATTTTGGTCTTACGGGTCGCACGAAAAATCTTGGTCTTACATGATTCCAGGTCTAAATATAAATCTTGGAAAAGTAATTAAACATTTTGTTTGAGATGTCTTGTCGTAGATATTAAAACGATGCAATTTGAAACAAATTTTCTTAAATAGAAAAGGGGAAATTGATTAGAACAGTCATTTTCGGCTTGTGATTTCACCCCTTGGCCATTTCTCTCTTAAAATCACCAAAATTTCACTAGGTATAAGTTTGCAATTTGTTAAAAGATCAAAATGTAAAAAAAAAAGTTTCTGAACCAGGTGTGTAAGTCATGGACCAAATCTATAAAATAGATATAGGTCCACAAGTTATATGTCCGCAATTTGCGGAGGTGTTGAAGACTAATTTATAGATTTGGTCCCTGCAATTCGAACCTGGTTTGGAAACCGTTTTTACACTTTGATCCCTCCTTAAATTTCGGACATGTCATTTGCAAACCTAGTGACATTTGGTAATTTTAGGAGAGAAATGACTAAAAGATGAAACCATCATCTGAAAATGGTTATTTTAGTTAATTTCCCTAAAAAATTACATTCTTTTTTTGATACAATTTCATATTTTTTAAATTGTTAAAATAAAAACAAAATAACCAGTAAAATGTACTCATACTGATTTTTTTTCCTTGTATTTTATCAAATACAAGTGACGTTACCAATAAAATGGCTAAAAATGCCCGTTTAACAGTTTTTTCACTCTAAAATCAACAAATGGAGAAAGGAGAATTGTGCTCATCGGATAAACAGTTAACAATTAGAAACATACTATTACAGATGATCGACGGTCAAAGATGATTGTCGGTCAAAGATGATTGTCGGTAAGCTTTTATTATGATCGTTTTATTCTTCAAAACATTAAAATAAGTTGTGATTTATAAGCATCGGACGTAGATATGTTGTGGGCCGAGGCTAAGAGTGACGGAAATTAATACTAGTCTATACTATATGTCTTAAAAATGCTTTTAAGATGTATTACACTGAAAATATAAAATCAACATATTTCGGTAGAAAAGTTGATTACCGACACCAACTGGTCCCCTACAGAACCGCCTCCAAGGACACCAATATGAGAGACATTATTTCGCTCACCCAACGACTGAGGCTAAGAGGCCTGGAATCAAACACATAACCTGTTTTGTATTTAGACAAAGTCATCATACTCATTTGCCAATTAAACTACTTCATAAACTATAAAATCAACATCTATACTATATTATAAAGCATTTGACAAAAACTCTTAAAAATTACTTTTTATGCATAAAGTACTGTTTATTAATGCATGCTACTTAAAACTCAAGATTACAGGTAGATTGTGCGTAAATACAACTTATTAAAGCTCCATATCTAAATTCGTGTAACTAACTACAGATAAACATAATCAAATACAAGATAAACATCTCTTTCTAAATATAAAAAATCCAAAATATAATTAGGATAGTCATTGAGTTCTAATAGAATATTTAATTATTATTTTTATAAAATGTTATATTATTAAACCAAAAATAAATTATTTCATTATTAAACTTAAATTAAATTATAATAAAAAATAAATTNAAATAAATTATTTCATTATTAAACTTAAATTAAATTATAATAAAAAATAAATTAAAAAAATTACATAAAAAATGAGAACTTTTAAATAGTTGATTTGATATTAACATTGATATGTTCTTTTTCCAAATTTTTATGATATCTTCAAATTTATATTTTATTCAAAAATAAAATCATTATTGTTTTCTTAAAAACACATAAAATCGTATTATAACATCAAGAGAGACAAAGAATAAAATAGAATATTAAAATCGAGACGTATCTCGCTGCATTGCGCGAGTATCCTTCTAGTATCATATAAAACAACTTTTCAAATATCAATATAATATTATACATAATTATAATCAAATAATAATTATAATTAGATATTATTATAATATAGAAAATTAAATTTAATAAATGTTAGGATCTATAAATAAGAAACTATTTATTGGAAGTCACATACTTCAGTAGTATCGTGATTCCGATTTATTTAATTAATTATTTTTTAATGTATTAAATATTAGACAGTATAATTTTAACTATTTTATTTAAATATTTGAAACATTTGCAAGTTTTATTCGTTGCAATAAGAAAACCTTAAACATTATATGTGGTATATAAAAACTCAAAATGTCATTCAAAATTTGAACAAACTGACAAGTTTTTATATATGTAACTTGAGGTTGATACAAAACGAGTACTAATCGAAAAAAATTGGTACTAGTTAAGTTAGTACCAAGTATAGTTGGTTGG